GCTCTTCCCCTCCTGTGGTGGGGGGTCTTCACACACTTGGCACACTGCCCCTCCTCTTCCCCTCCCTGTGGGGGAAGGGGCAGGACATCAGCAGAGGGGGCAGGGTTGTAGGTGGGGCTGCAAACCTACAAACCAGGATTTTACAAACCAGGAGTGCTGATTTAGGGCCTTAAAACATCCCGTAATTATGTGACGGGATGTAATGTCTGTACCTGTGTCTCAATTATTTAATTATCTTTACCAGGATGGACAGGAATGGTGTCCCTCCCCTCGTTTATCCTGAAGCCGGGAATAAGGGACAGGGGAGGGATCGCTTGCTGATTCCCCCTTCTCTTCATTCCCCCTAGAACTCCTGGCACTGGCCACTGTCAGAAGACAAGTCACAGAGGGGTAGCTGTGTTAGTCTTTTTCAGCAAAAACCACGAAGAATCCAAGTGGCGCTTTAAAGATTAGCACATTCATTTGGGCATTAGCTTTTGTGGGCAAGAGCCCACTTCATCAGACGCATGAAATGAAAACTAGTTTGGCAGGGATACATCCAGGTAGGATGCTGGGGTAGATGGACTTTGGTCTGACCCTCGTTTGCCCCTTCTGTGAGACCACATACAAAAGAACGGAAGAGGCAAACGGGGAGAAACTGGAGAGTGGGACGTACACATTTTACTATCGATCTCATTCCCTTTTCGGTTAGAAAAATGTTGGATGACGTCACTACTGTCCCTGCTCTTTTCTTCTATCAGTTTTGCCTTTTACATACCATCTCGGTTTTCCCTTTGATATTTATATACCCACTGCCTCCTTTTGTCCTCCCCTCCCATTTTTTCCTTTTCCCCAACCCCTCCCTTCTCCCCCGTTTATTTTGGTTCTGGACATACAACACTCCAGTCATCTGAAGAATTGGCTGTGCCCACGAAAGCTCATGATCCCATCGACATATCTATAAAGTGCTACCAGAGTATTAGTCTGTACAGGATAAACTTAAAAAACAACTAACTCAGCTACCCTCCTGAAGCTTTTCTTCTGTGTTCGTCTCATCTGATAGATTTTATTCTAGTGGCCTAACTGACCCAGCTTTGTCTTAGCTTAGTCTTGGTTCTGGGAAGGAACCAATTTAGTGTTTTGTAGGAGAGTTTCCATTTGGGATTCAGCGCGAATGTGCTGCCATTCTTGTTTGCGTGACTGGAGAGAGCTGTAGGCCAGGAGGGAGGGGAGCTGAGGTGAAGAGAACGCTCATGGGTTCCCAAATGCGGGGCGTGCCCCCTGGAGGGGTGTGTGAAGAAATTCCAGGGGGGGCGCAAGGCGACCCAGCCCCACACACCTCCATCAATCCCACCCCAGGTTTTGCTGCTATTTTTGGGGGGCGGGGGATTCATGAGGGTTTCTCAAAAATCAAAAAGGGCGTGGTGCCGAAAAGTTTAGGAACTATTGAGTCATCCTAAGTTCCAATTTTGTCCTGATGCTTTTTCTGTGAACAAGCCATTTCCCGATTTTGCCTCTTCCCCCACAGGCTGCTCAGAGAGCTGAGAAGAGGACAACATGAAGAAAACTGTGACTGATTGCATGCATAAGACACTTGAGGAACTGACAGTAGAGGACCTTGAGAAATTCAGTCACTATTTGAACAAATGTAAGCTGAAGAAGGGCTATGACAATATCCCCATGAGTAAACTAGAAAAAGCAACACCTTTGAAAATAACTCAAGACCTACTCAGCTACTATGGAGAAGACTATGGGCGGGAAGTGACAGCGGATGTGCTGAAATCCATCAACAGGAGAGATCTGTTGGGGAAACTTTTTGAGACAGGATCTGGTAAGAACCTTGCACAATGTATGCATGGAGTGTGCTGTGTGTGTGTCTAACTATTTGTTTTCAGTTTGGGTGATCACCACCATCTCAGCTTTGTTTTAAAATAAAAAGTACCATTCTAGTTCTCATGACTGCAAAGAAAAACTATAAAACGTAACCCTAAATACTCAAAGGCCATTAAAACTCCAAAAAGTTTTTAATCTTACGTTTTTAAGGCAATGATGATTTTTAGGGCTCTTTGACTCAGCTTGTGCACTTAAATGTATAGCAATATTGCCAAATGAAAACATTCACAAACTGTGCAAATTCAGTAACTAATTGTGACTAGACAAGGCTGTGAAGGAAAACTGTACCATCCTCATTAAGGACTGGAGTACACTTTTTACAGGAATGAATGTAATTGCCTGAGAACTTAATTCCTCTGGATTTCTTGATTAAGAAAACAGTTACAACACACAGGGTGTGCCTCTCTTTCTTAAACAGTTACAACATACTGGGTGTGCCTCTCTCTTAAACAGCCTTTCTTAATCAAGAAAGACAGCGGAACTCAGTTCTCATGCAATTACATTCATGCACTGGCAGGGATAGCTCAGAGGTTTGAGCATTGGTCTACTAAACCCAAGGTTGTGAGTCCAATCCTTGAGGGGCCATTTAAGGATCTGGGGCAAATCTGTCAGGGATGGTAGTTGGTCCTGCCATGAGGGCAGGGGACTGGACTAGAATAACCCCTCAAGGTCCCTTCCAGCTCTATGAGATGGTACATCTCCCTATATAAAAACAGTGTAAACACCCTCAATTTTAGCTTTCCCCCATTTTCCAGCATCGAGCGTGCACATCGACAAAGAGCCTGCAATGCGAGGCTGTCTTTTGTAAGCATTCCCCTGTTTTGCACGACACTACCCTGGCCCTCCCCTTTGAGACAGGAGAAGCTGCTGTGTCCAAAATTCTGATCTCCGATGCAGCGGGGCTCGGGGAGCAAGATTTCCCTTTGCTTCTGGAGAATCCCACTGTGGGGACAGAGCTGAGGGTTGCACTGTAGTGGGAAGGGGTGTTGACTAGTTACCCGATAAGTATCACCTGGATGGGGCCAGCAGAGCCTCCCCTGCTTTTCCCCCCCGCCCCCGGGCTGTAAGCCGCACCTTGCTCGCTGCCCCAGCCTTGTTTTATCAGTTAACAGGTTAATTGTCATTTAAACCCTACATTTAACAGGTTAACCATTTAAACAGCATTTTCCATCCCTTGTAGGGGGCAGTCGGTGGGAAAATAACAATTGAATTTCTGTATTTGAAATGGGACCCATGAAATGAGGAGTTGAGAATTCTGCTCCCAGCAACCCCATTAGGCTTGCTTATTATTTTAAAAGGTTTTAAACTGACGTTTCCTCATTCCCACATTGTTCCTGTTCACTTGCAATGGAAGGAAACTCAATAGGTCTCCATCAATTTGTAAAGTAACTAGAATTCGTTGCATTCCAATAATCTCTCTTATTTGCTTCCCTTGTTAGATAGTTTAAGTCTTGTGCCAGAACTTCACGAAGCCCCAAACTCAGGGGACAAAGACCTTCCCAAAGGTATTTCCTCTTCTAGCCCTTTGATTTCACCTTTTTTTGAGCCCTTCTAATTAATCAAATGCAACACGGCTACATTTGGAACCCTGAGCCAGCCTACGGAACAGCTGTTCTAGAAACTCTGACCATTCCTGGGGGTGACGGGGCTGTGAGGCACCTTGCTACCACCAGCCCTCGGTGTGCGGAAGCTCTGTCTGTGCCGGCCAGGGCCAGCTCCCAGGCACCACCAGCCATGGACAACACAAGCACTCCCCTCTCAGCCCAAGCAGAATCTGCTGTACCTGTGCAGATTAGCAATAGAAACAAACCAGCCCCTGAGGCTTCTAAGCATCTGTCTTTAGTGTCCAGCTTCTGATCCTCTCACAGAACTCCAGATCCTCTGCCCCCAAAGCACAGAACACCCCACTTTGCTATTTACACCATAGGACAGTTCTACTTAAAAAGCAGCAGTTAGATGCATTTACAGAGAAAGCAAGTACAGTCAAATTCCAGTTGTCCGGCATCCAGTGGTCCGGCACTCCTGATAGTCCAGCACCAACTGGAACCAGAAGTGCTCCGGCCAGCCGGACAATTGGAGCTGCCCAGAGGTGGTGGCGGAGAGGGGGCGAGAGGCAGGCAGCATTCCCCGCTGACCCACAGCTGCCTGCCCCACCCCCCTCCCCTGCCACTGCCGCTTACAAGTTTCCCTGCTTGCAAGCCAGCTGCACGGGGCTTCCAAGTGTGTGGCTCCTGCTAAGATTGCACCCCTCCCAGAACTCACCACCCCACACTAGGCCCCTTCCCCCCTTGTTTCCCTCAGACCCTTTCATAGCATGGTTGCAGAGGCCGCTGTGTGGGCACCCAAAGTACAGGGCCTGAGGTAGCCACCCCAAACTGTCCTATGGATGGGACAGCTCTGCCTATGAGGAACCCTCCCTACCCCGCATTTCTGACATCCTGATGCCTGTGGCAGGCATTTTGACATACACTAACAGGTCTGGTCTCCCAGAGAGAACGGGAGACTGGAGAGCTAATGCCAGGCAGCCAGGGGCGTCTGGGAGCCCGGTTACCCCAGCAGCCTGGTGTCTGGGATGCTGGGCGGCATGAGGAGTCCGGGAGCCAGGCAGGGGCAGAGGTGGGCAGACAGGAGAGCCGGGGAGCCGAGGGAGCAGGGCATACGGGGTAAGGGGCAGTCTCGGGGAACTAAAGTCAGGGAAGGCAGGAACTGGGCATTGCAGTGACCCCTCCGGTGAGCAGGGAGCCCGGTTACCCCAGCAGCCTGGTGTCTGGGATGCTGGGCGGCATGAGGAGTCCGGGAGCCAGGCAGGGGCAGAGGTGGGCAGACAGGAGAGCCGGGGAGCCGAGGGAGCAGGGCATACGGGGTAAGGGGCAGTCTCGGGGAACTAAAGTCAGGGAAGGCAGGAACTGGGCATTGCAGTGACCCCTCCGGTGAGCAGCTGCGCTCCGGGACCCTGACTGGTTTCCATGCAATGTTCGGACGTGAGCCACACGGTTCCGTGCACCGTTGTGACTCCACGTAAAAGGAAAATGTCCACACTGCTGGTTTTTGTGCAAAAACCCTCGTGAAAAAACGGACTGGCAGAAAATATGCAAATGAGATTGCAACTCATGCAAATGAGTCCCTCATTAGCATATTTTTTGCCAAGAAAACTCACAGTGTAGCCATAGCCCAGTTGTTTACCGGGTGTGCTGTTTGGGCTTGCAGGGTACCAAACTCTGCTAAGTTGGGTACGCCAGTGATGGAAACTTCCTTCCCAGACTTGCTAAGTTGCAGGACCCACATCTGACTTCTATGTGACAGAAAGAAGGTTCAAAAGAGCTTTTTCCCCTGACATGTGGCCCAGTGTAGATGGGCCAAATGTTGGAAAAACCTCTTTCCAAAGAAAAGTGGAAAAAGATCCGTAAATTGCAGTTGCGTGTCTTTTTCTGACTTTTCTTTGTAGTGTAGACACAGCCTGAGTGGCCAGCGCAGACAATAATAAACAGTATTTTATGACTTAGCTCACTTTCCCATGGTGCAAGGCAGTGAGTGTGATGAAGCTACAGTTCTTATTCCTCCCTGAAATCTCCCTATCCCTGCTGTCCTGTCTCCTCTGACTGACTCGAAACCAACCAATCCTGCCCTTGCATCAGTGGACACTAACTAGGTGGGTTGAGAGAGAGATGTCACTTCCCCTGCAAGGTAAGGGCTATGACAGCTCCTCAAGGCTGAGGTGCTGTATAAAGAATGTGTGTAGGGCTTTTCACACACACATCTGTAAGAGTTTGACACAAGGTGGACAAGTGCCTTGGAAGGGAAAAGGGAACTCCCCTGTGCTTTTGGGGAGATTCTCCCCCTTTCAAATGGAGGGAAACATGGGAAGTGCAGTACAATAAATGGTTGCAATTGTGAAGTAAGATTGTTATAAATCAGCACTGATAATGGTTTTCTCTGGTTCTCTTGCTAGCTGCTTTACACCTGAAACAGGAACCAGAAACTCAGCATGGCACGTTCTCTGGGAAGACGAAAGTTTGCCCAGGTATTTCTCCTTCTTTCTTTATTAACACTAATGTGGGGGCTCAGGGCAGAGGGTGGGGGGAGCAGGAGTCAGGGCTGGGGGCTGCCAAGTCTGGAGGTCTCACTGGGGATACCCACAGCAGCAACGGTGTTGCTACTCCGAGGATGGAGGATCCTTGTGACCACGCTGCTCTGCCAACAGCTCCTTCTGGGGGACCAGGACTGTGCTGGCCCTGCAGTTCCTCGGAGGGGTGCAGCCCCTGGAAGGCTGGGGGATGGGGCCGTGCTGATCTACCCCAGTCGTGCTCCCACCCATGTCCAATGCTGCAGTCAAGAGTTGGAGGGCAGAGGGGTTGGGGCAGGGAGGCCACTTACTCTAGCTAATGGCTGGGCATATTGGGAGGCGCGAACCGGCCACCCCCTGTGGTCACTCTACAGTGTAACTGTCCTCTGTGCTCACTGCCCCCAGTGGTCACTGCAGAGTGTATCTGTCCCTCCTCTCAGTCCCCTCCCTCTCTGTGTTATGGGAAACAATGGAATTCCAGGCACTTCCCGTTTTCCTGGCACAGCCAAACCCCGACCTTGCTTTACGTCAGAGTAGGAGGAAGCTGCGGCCACCCCCTGTGGTCACTCTACAGTGTAACTGTCCTCTGTGCTCACTGCCCCCAGTGGTCACTGCAGAGTGTATCTGTCCCTCCTCTCAGTCCCCTCCCTCTCTGTGTTATGGGAAACAATGGAATTCCAGGCACTTCCCGTTTTCCTGGCACAGCCAAACCCCGACCTTGCTTTACGTCAGAGTAGGAGGAAGCTGCCTACCGGATTCGGTCGTTACTGCTGCCGCTTAGGAGGCGTTCTTGAACAAATGGACCCACAGATGGACAGACCGCCTCAGGCAGAGACTGAACTGTCACAACTGCACAAACTGCCGAGCAAATAGAGCGAAGTTCTAATTACAACACGACTGAGAAATGCCCCAGCGGTTGCCTAGCAGCTGAGACCATCTTGGCTCCAAGTGAGAAGGTTAATGCTGGGGCAGACCAAAAGGCTTTGAGACAAAACTGGAGACACTGTACTGGGCTAAGGGGACATTTTCCAGAGCTCCTAACTGACTTCAGGGCCTGAGATTACGACTTCCCATCACGTCTGTCCCCTATGGGGTTGTCTGCACTGGGCTGCCTTCTCTAATCCCTCCTCACCCCCTTCTGTGCCTCCTTCTCCCCTAACCCAGCCCCACCTCCTGCTCCCTGACCCCTACACTCTCCCCCTTTCCCTTTAACCACTGAAAGTCCTTTTCTGTGCTTAATCCCTGCACTCACTGAAAAGAGGCGCAGCTGCACAGCCTCTCTCAGATGCTGCTTCTCTCTGCCAGTGACGCATGGAGTGAGGATCAACATAAGGGCTCCCTCCTAGGCTGTGTAAGGGGAAGGAAGCAGCTCCTGAAGCTTCCTCCACAGCCAGCCCGGGGGGGGGGGCTCCTGTTGCTTCTTGCTCCTGCTCTCACCTCCAGAGGGGGACATGGAGGAACATGGAAAGAGACAGCAGTGTCTGTGCATCACCTTGCCCTCCCCCACCAGCCATGTTCCTCCACAGACAGGAAGCAGGGGGGATTCTGATTTGCCTCTGCACGTTCACAGCACTTCCCTGTCAGCGCCACACTCCAACCACAGCTCCCTGGGCAGTCACCCAATGGCCCCCGCTAAATCTGACCCTCCCTGCAGGCTGAGACTGCACAAACATGTAACCCTCTGCCGGTGGCAGCAATATCTAGGGAGGTTCTTTCAACACAAGGACTATAGCCGGCTTGAGCCCCCACCCAGTAAACTGGGAAAATTCCAACCTACCCACTGGCTGGCTTTAGAGCCGATTCTTCCCTTCTTGCAAGTACTGAGTCAGAGAGAGTCGGAGATCCTGTTTAATAACAGAAATCAAGCAGCGATCCACAGGACCACAGCTAAACAAAGCAAACCCATAAAATGAAAGAAACCTGTATTGGAGAGAAACACAGTCTATTTATTGACTGTCCTGCCATTGGCTCATTCTCATTCTCAAGGACAGTTTAATGTTTTACTCAGAGGATAACAGCTTTTGTAGGAGAAAATAAGAGACCTCTACCAGTATACCTCATAGCCTCATAGCTCACCTGGGAGGTGGGAGATCTGGATTCAGGTGCCTACTCGGACTTTGCAGCAGCCTCCCCTGGCCCCCGTAACCACCCACCGCTCTGCTGACTCTGATAGAGGTAACAGTGCAGGGGGAGTGCTGGGGGGAACCAGCTTTTATACTGGCTCTCCCCAGCATTGGCTCCTGCTCCCCCCCTTGATGCTTCTGTATCACAGGCAGCAAGTGGAGGGGGAAAGGAGTAACTGGTTAATCATCTAGTCAACTACTAGTTGACATCCCTACTTCTCCCTGCTCTGAGGGTAAGGATTGGGCCCAAAGCATGCCAACCATCACAGCCTTTATGGAATTCGTAATGGGCCAAACGATAGTTCATTTGCACTAAAACACTCCCATTGGTTTTACTGTTGTACCAATATACAGGCAGTCCCCAGGTTACGTACAAGATAGGGACTGTAGGTTTGTTCTTAAGTTGAATTTGTATGTAAGTCGGAACTGGTACATAGTGTAGGGGAAACTCTAGCCAAACATTTCTCCAGAGCTCAGTTTTATTCTCCCACACCTCACTTCCCTCAGTCCTTTATTCTCAAGCTGAGGTGTCTGCTGAGAAAAGCCGCTCCACATCTCCCTGGTCTGCTGGGGAGGGGCCAGCTAGTGGGGGGTTGCCTCACCCCGTTTGTAAGTAGGGATCCGATGTAAGTCGGATCCATGTAACCCGGGGACTGCCTGTATATAAGAAATGAATTGGGCTCAGGATGCTTCTCACATCTGTCACTTGCTGGGTTCTGCTTTTCTTTAAATTACAGTTACCTCTGCATGACGCCCCCAACATCAGCCAGCATAAGGAATTGGTAAACTCTATACAAGTCAGCTTTCTGTACTCGGAACATTTACTTTGTTTTCACTGGTATTTGCAGAGGGAAGTGAAGCAGCCCAAGACGTTCTGTCCAGACTAAACCTGGAGCAGCACAGACACAGGAAGATCAGGCTGAGGGACGTCCTGGAGATCTGCCCAGAAAGCATAAAGCCCAGGGTTCCAGAGGCATTAGGGGATTTACCGTGGCATTTCCTGAGGAAGCTCATGGCTCTGCGAGGCGCCTGCAGAAGAAATGGCTGATGAGGAGGATCTGTATACTGATGACAATTTCTGTTTTAGTGATGCTGAGATGAAAGTTTCCCTGCACCCCCTGGACGTTCTCTGCGCCGTGCTGCTTTGCTCAGACAGTTTCCTGCAGCAGGAGATCCTGTCCAAAATGTCCATGTGCCAGTTTGCCCTGCCTCTGCTGCTGCCCCCCCTCGACTCCCCCAGGGGCACCCTGCTGCTGTGGGCCATGCGGGACATTGTGAGGAGGTGGCGGCCGCACTCCCTGGCACAGAGCCGAGGGTTCAGGGAGGAGAGCCTGGTGCTCACCCCAATGCCAACCGTCTCCTTTGTGCGGCTGGGCAGCTGCAGCTTCTCCAAGTCCCAGCTCCTCAACGAGGTTCTCAGCCCCGCCCAGCAGCACCACGACTTCTTTGTGCATCGGGACATGGAGTCTGGGGACGTCCCACGGGAAATCGCTGACGGGCTGGTTGAAATTGCCTGGTATTTCCCTGCTGGGAAGGAAAGTTCAGATCTTTTCCCCGAGCCTGTCGCAGTTACAAACCTGCGCGGGGACATTGAGTCACACTGAGACATTGAGTCGCACTGGCTCCAGTTCAGCTTTTTAACACAGATCTCCTCAGCGGTGTTCATCATCACTGAGAGCATCAGTCAGAGAGAATACGCCCTGCTCTCCTCTCTGAAAGAGTCAACTGCTAAATATTACTTCATCCTGAAATTGCCTGGTATTTCCCTGCTGGGAAGGAAAGTTCAGATCTTTTCCCCGAGCCTGTCGCAGTTACAAACCTGCGCGGGGACATTGAGTCACACTGGCTCCAGTTCAGCTTTTTAACAGAAGTCTCCTCAGCGGTGTTCATCATCACTGAGAGCATCAGTCAGAGAGAATACGCCCTGCTCTCCTCTCTGAAAGAGTCAACTGCTAAATATTACTTCATCCTCAACTGCAAGAGTGAGATACCCAAAGAAACTCCTTAGTCAGCTGGCCCCTGTGCTGAAGCTGAGCAAATCACAATTACTGGTGAAAAACAACAGCATCAATAATGCAGGATTTGTGAAAAAGATTCAGTCCACTATGAGAAATATAGTGAACTCCTCTCCCAGGACAGTGAGTTTGGAAGCCATGGCCGTGATGACTCGTGAGCTAGGAATGCAGGTGGACGAGGACTCTCAGGCAAGTCAGTGTGCAAGGAAACATGCTGAAGAAATCACTGCAGAAATAAGAGACGGGGCAAAATACAAAAGGGAAAATCTGAGACTCCAAGGGGACCCGTGGAGAAACTTGGGTAAAGTGGAGAAAGAGATGTGCCGAATGCAAAGGCAAGGGGACAAGGCCACTGAAGACTATAAATCTGAGCTGAAACGGAAATGGTTAGAGATACGCAGGCAGCAGAATGAGTGTGACCAATGTCAGCATGCGAGGAAACGTGCTGAAGAAATCACTGCAGAAATAAGAGACGTCGCAAAATACAAAAGGGAAAATCTGAGACTCCAGAGAGATCCATGGAGAAACTTGGGTAAAGTGGAGAAAGAGATGTGCCGAATGCAAAGGCAAGGGGACAAGGCCACTGAAGACTATAAATCTGAGCTGAAACGGAAATGGTTAGAGATACGCAGGCAGCAGAATGAGTGTGACCTTACTGGTGGTCTGACCAAGTTTATCACAGGACTAGGACAGTTGTCTCCAGTGGAGAAACATTACTTCCTGAAGTGGATGAAATTTAGCCTGGATAACACTGCTAGGGAAAGTCTTTCTAAGATGCGTGCGGAGTATAAAAAGAAATGTGAAACTCCAGGAGCAGACCGAAAACAGCTGGAAGAATTAGATCAATTAATATCTGAAAGCTCCCTCGGGGTGGAGCATTTCATGCGTCTGAGCTGAAACGGAAATGGCTAGAGATCCGCAGACAGCAGTATGAGTGTGACCTTACTGGTGGTCTGATCAAGTTTATCATGGAAATAGGAGAGTTGTCTCCAATGGAGAAACATTACTTCCTGAAGTGGATGAAATTTAGCCTGGATAACACTGCTAGGGAAAGTCTTTCTAAGATGCGGGCGGAGTATAAAGAGAAATGTGAAACTCCAGGAGCAGAACAAAAACATCTGGAAGAATTAGATCAGTCAATATCGGACAGCTCCCTCGGGGTGGAGCATTTCATGCGCGAGCTCGGGCAGTTCTATGAGGCTGAATGCTCGATGGTTAAAGAAGGGAAAATGGCAGAAAGCCAAAGACAATTCATCCATATCCCAGGTATTGTGGCTGAGCTGATGCTGGAAGGGTTTCCCGTGGAGCTGATTGATGGAGATGCCTCCAACATCCCGCTGCAGTGGGTGACCAAGCTGGGGGGAAGGTCCAGGATGCTGGTTCTAACAGTGCTGGGAGTGCAGAGCACTGGGAAATCCACCCTCCTCAACACCATGTTTGGCCTGCAGCTTGCAGTGAGCAGCGGCCGATGTACGCGAGGAGCCTTCATGACGCTCATTAAAGTTACAGAAGCTGTTCAGAAGCTAAGTGGCTGCGATTTCATCCTGGTGATCGACACCGAAGGCTTGAAAGCCCCCGAACTGGCCAAGCTGGAGGAAAGTTACCAACATGACAATGAGCTGGCCACTGTGGTCATAGGACTGAGCGAGGCGGAGTATAAAGAGAAATGTGAAACTCCAGGAGCAGAACAAAAACATCTGGAAGAATTAGATCAGTCAATATCGGACAGCTCCCTCGGGGTGGAGCATTTCATGCGCGAGCTCGGGCAGTTCTATGAGGCTGAATGCTCGATGGTTAAAGAAGGGAAAATGGCAGAAAGCCAAAGACAATTCATCCATATCCCAGGTATTGTGGCTGAGCTGATGCTGGAAGGGTTTCCCGTGGAGCTGATTGATGGAGATGCCTCCAACATCCCGCTGCAGTGGGTGACCGATGTTCTGACTCAGCTACACGCCAAGCTCGGGGAAAGGTCCAGGATGCTGGTTGTAACGGTGCTGGGAGTGCAGAGCACTGGGAAATCCACCCTCCTCAACACCATGTTTGGCCTGCAGCTTGCAGTGAGCAGCGGCCGATGTACGCGAGGAGCCTTCATGACGCTCATTAAAGTTACAGAAGCTGTTCAGAAGCTAAGTGGCTGCGATTTCATCCTGGTGATCGACACCGAAGGCTTGAAAGCCCCCGAACTGGCCAAGCTGGAGGAAAGTTACCAACATGACAATGAGCTGGCCACTGTGGTCATAGGACTGAGCGATATCACCATTGTTAACATGGCCATGGAGAACGCCACCGAAATGAAGGACGTTCTGCAAATCGCAGTCCATGCCTTCCTCAGGATGGAGGAAATCGGACAAAAGCCAAATTGCCAGTTTGTGCATCAGAATGTCAGTGATGTGTCTGCGCATGAGCAGAACATGAGGGACCGGAAACACCTCCTGGAGCAGCTGAATGAAATGACCAGAGCTGCAGCCAGGATGGAAAAGCAAAGCAGGGAAATGACATTTTCTGATATCATGGAGTATGACCCAGAAAAACACAATTGGTACATCCCTGGGCTATGGCATGGAGTCCCGCCCATGGCCCCAGTGAACGCTGGATACAGTGAGAGTGTGTGTGAGCTAAAGAAATACCTGTTTGAATTCATGGAGGATTCCTGACTTTATTGAATGGGTGAGAAGCCTGTGGACCTCAGTGAAACATGAAAACTTCATCTTCAGCTTCAGAAACAGCCTTGTAGCTGAAGCCTACAACTTGCTGACTATGAAGTATTCTGAGTGGGAATGGGGGTTCCGGAAGGAGATGCATCTCTGGATATCCGAAAAGGAAACTTTCATCCAGAATCATCTGGCAGACAAACCAGAGGGCAACCTCTTAGGCAAATTAAAAAGTGAGGCACAGAAGAAACTACAGCAGGAAGAACAGCAGCTCTTGGATCATTTAGAACAGTATTTTAAAGGTGAAGCTGCAAATCTGAACCTGATAGAAAAGTACAGAGAAGATTTCAAAAGGAGCGCAAACAGCCTCAGAAGAGAACTTGAATATTTTTCTACCAGTAAATGTGAGGAAGCCATTCGAATCCGAAGGGGACAGCACAAGATAGGCACTATCCTGTCCACGTACAAGCAGACAATTGAAGGGAAAGTTGACAGGCTGTTGGCCGAATGCCGGAACAGAAAACAGAAGCTAGACGATGAGAAACTGAAAACAGAATTTGAAAGGATGTGGAAAGACACCTTGTCTGAGTTAAAGCCCAGTCATTTGCATAAACGTCAAGTTGTTCAAGACCTGGATTTCCAGCTAAGAAAAGATCTGGAGAACCGAGGGAGTGCTGTCAAGCTGATACTACAACAAGTACCAAACCTGCTGTGTTACCGGATAAAATCTTTCAGTATTAAAGATGAATATTTAGACCTGAAATGGCACAGAAAAGTTGTTGAATATTTCATACAGAGCAGTTATGGTAAAACTGAAGCGCTTGCTAAATCTTTAATGAAAGAATGCATGAAGTACATTGAAGAAAAAGTTAAATCGGAAACAGATTATGATGAAACCTACTGTGGAGAGCTGCTGCGTATGGTTAATGAGAGGCTAAAACAGGAGGATGTTCTAAAACTTTGCACTACCTCTCATTTTGAAGTTGATCTGAAGCTTCACATTTTGGGGGAAGCAGCTCATGCATTTCAGAAGATGCATGAAGATTTCATCAAAGAAAATGAACCTGTGCAACGCCTGGAGAAGCTGAAACCTCAGTATTTCAAGACTTTTACAGCCCTTTACTTGGAAAAGGATGGGAGCCAAACACTGGCCAGGGATTTCTGTGATCAGTGTCTCATACCTGCCCTGGTAGAGTATGTCAACAGGATACTTGGGGTGCAAATAGTGGACGACGTTCTCAGCGGCTCGCAATCCATTACGTACAGCAACCGTGGTTTTTTTCAGTTTGAGCTGCTGAAGGAGTTGTTGGAGAAGGACAACTTTGAGAGCTACATGGAATATATTAGGACATATGAAGATTTTGTCAAAAGCTGGATAGGGACACAACTTTTAGAGCGCTACAGCAAGACGACAGCCTTGGGAGACATGGAGAAAAAGATTCTGTCCTCAATGAAAGAGAAAGTCAGGGAGGCTATTAAAATCAGCAGTGCTACAAAGAACACCAAAGTCTCTGACTTTTTAGATTCTGTATGCAAAGGGCTACAGAAAGATCTAGTGATTACCAGGGATAATTTAGTGGAGATGCAATTTTTAAATACAGCCAGTGCTGAGCAGTTTTCTGATTTTATACAGCTTTTTCTTCCAGATCTGGAAGAAAAAATCTTAGCTGATCTGAAAAGTACAGACATTGAGTCAAAACTCTCCCATCTGTCGGTGAAACCCGAGGCTGAAATGTTCAAGCGAGTGTTCGGCTGTGGGAAGCAGTGTCCCTTCTGCAAGGTCCCCTGTGAGGCAGGCGCCCCTGGTCACCAGGAGCACTTTGCTTCAGTGCATCGGCCTCTAGGATTAGGGGAATATAAGACTTTGTATAATGAAAAGCTTCACTATGGCATATGCTCGTCGGATGTGGTTGGCAATGGTACATTCCAGAATTCAGACACAGAATGGAATGATCATCCCTACCAAGAGTACCGTGACTATTACCCGGACTGGAACATTCAGCCAGATCCCAGCATAGAAGCTTCCAGTTACTGGAAGTTTGTTTTTCACAAGTTCAATCACCAGTTTGCTGAAGAGTATGACGCTAAACCAGCCGATCTCCCGGAGGACTGGGGCACCATTACTAAGGAGCAGGCACTGGAGAGCATCAAGCAAGTTTTTAACATGAAGTAAAGAGCGTGTGAGAGTCTGTTTAAGTGGGGTTGCAAGGCCTAGTGCCTGAGATCCACTAACACATCACCAGGAGGACAGAGCACAAACCCCAAGTAAATTGAAAACAAGACAAACCTCCAAAAGAGACACAGACTCTAATACAGTATTTGGTTGTCTGCGAGAGCAGCTTCCCAATAGAAAAACGACCAGAGATCTACTGAACTCTGAGCTGACACTTACCCACCCATAACTAAACAGTGTGTGGGATTTACACATCTCCACATCTGTCTTCCTTTCCGATGCCTATGCCACTTAGAAGGTTTTAAAAAATATCAATATCTCCAGGCTTTAATATGGTACTAAAGAATATTTGACAAACAAACAATCTTATTTCTAGTGGACATTTAAAGCTCTCCATATTTACTGATGAGGAATGTTCACTCAACTATGTCTAGCTGCTCCTATCTCTCGCTCCAAAGTACTACTCATTCCACATCTATTTTTGGGTGAGCAATCACTGCCATGTGTGATTAGCCTGCAATGTGCTACTTTGCCTCATTTTGAGTTTTCATTACAAATCCACCTTCTCACAGAGCTAAAGAGAGAAGGAGGTCATGGTTTTGACAAAGATAAGTGACAGTCTGAGTCTGCATGTATTGGAGTTCCAGACTTTTCATAAATCCTCAGTTAGCTGGGAATTTTGATAAATCAAATGAATGTTTATTTCCTGCAAATAAAAAGAGCAATATCGGGAAACACAGTATAGTTGTGGCATTTCCCACAACATGATCTTCTGGAAATGCATGAAACATTCAAAACTGCCTATAAAATTTTATTATAATGAACTATTTTTAACCTATTTGCTGCCTCATACATGTATTTTGCTGAAGCAAAAGTGACACCTAGTAACCAGTTAATGTCCCCTATTAATTCACTTTGTCTTAATTTGCTCCTTTTTGCCTGGGCATTATTGTGATCAGTCTTTAACTGCAGGGTCATCTGCTCTTTTCCCCACATGCGTTCACTGCATTGGGGTGTGATGGTCAAAACACACTTCAGATTGTTATCCAATGTGTTGAGACTAGCCTGTTGCAACACAGATCAAGAGGTGGGCCATGCCTCTGCAGACCTTAACAGAAAACAGTACAGTAAGATATCTGCCTCCTGCACTTTCATACCCAGCCCCGTGCACCCTAGATAAATCCCCCTTACGTGGTACAGATCTCCATACCAGTGAGATCGGTCCTCTTTCTTGACACAAAGGAAGCTATGCTCAGACTCTTTGCCCTCCACCCCCACTAGTAACAATTATTTCCACCAGGTTTATTAATAAACAAAAGTGATTGTATGAAGTCCAAAAAGGGTTTCAAGCCAAATACACCAGCACACACAAGCTAAGCTTAATACACTCAAGAAGCTAGTGACATGTCATACCTCACCCTGAAAGTTGCTCCAATCATCATTGCACACACTGGACAGATGGGTCCAGGCCTTTCCCCTGTTCAGTGGTTGGATGTTTCCAGCAGTCATCTTGAGTTCAGCTCCAGAGGAGAACTGACCATGTGGATTATCTCACCCTGAATCGGATTTGCAGAAGGCAAGAATCCATTGTGTTCAGTCCCAGCTTTCCTTCCGCTCTCATGGAAAAAATACAGATGGATTCCCATAGCAAGTGACATAGTTGCATGTCTCTGTAAGGCCCTTGTCTCTGTGCTTCCTAGGCTGACCCACACATCAGGTTAAGCTCCATTGTCTCTTGCTAATGGGCCACCATAGCCCTGAAATCTGATCAGTGGGAGAGACCCCAAAGCAGCAAATCTGCAATGATAGATACACAGTTCAATGTTCCTAACTTGAGCTACAAACGCAATACACGCCCACCGTAGTAAGAGGTGGGCTTAGAACACAAGCCCACATATCACAGGCCTGGTGTGAGGCCAGAGGCCTAGCCAGAAATGGTCAAGACTCTGCTAATATAAATGAAGGCTAAGCTGTGGCAAGAGGCAGACCCTTGTGCATGGAACTTGACACCTGCCTGGACCTCAGCAATGCGGCCTGCTTCATGACCCCAACCTCTGTGAGAGCGAGGGGGAGACTTTCCTGCCAGGGTGGGGGGCAGAGGCTGATTGGCTCCATTCGACGAGCACATCGGGAGGTTGTGCTCATCTGGGAGGCCTCGAGTAGAGTTTCAGCCATGACCCCCTGTGAGACTCCACGAGGAGTAACAGTAGTTTGAATTCGGATCTCGAAATACCTACTCCGTGCCGCATGTAGCCGTGGGCACGGTGTTCGGACTAAGGGGGATTTAAAAATGGCGGCGCCCAGGAACATGCAAATGAAGCCCGGGACATTTAAATCCCGGGCTGCATTTGCAACTCTGGTTGCCCTCATTTGCCTACCTAGCTCGAACTAACAAGCTAGTGTAGACATACCCTAACTGAGTTCTATTAACCACACTGTGTTAATTGTATAATCTTGCGTTGTGTAGTGGTGTTGTATTTAGGCCAAGTATAAGCGTTAGAAATAGAAACCCAGGAGTGGTTAAATTGCAGAGGTAGATTAATGACTAACTCCACCAGCTGCCCTAAAATAACCATAGAGGAGCTGGCTGTGAACGGAGTTTTTATTATCATTATATTGGCTTTGTTTTTGTATTTTTTGCTTGCATGCTGCGCTGCCTTAAGCGAATTAGAGATAGTGATTTAATATAATCGAATTATAATCACAAAGTTTGTAATCAGTTAAGTGCAGTTTGATTCAGTTTTTCCCGCCTGTAAAAGCACTAGGCAATTACTTGTTAAAAGCTCGTTTTAAAGTCATTTGGTTTTAATAAAAGAATCGGTTTGCTTAATAAAAAATCATTTGTTTCACCATCATCCAGTAGTTTGCACTGGGTAGTCGGCTTTAACCCCTGGGGGATCCCATCACATCACCAAACCAAGTTGCGACATACACCAGCAAATTGGACCAGTTAAATGAACGGGTTAAAAAACAGGAAACAAAGGGTAGGAATAAATGGTAAATTTTCAGAATAGAGAGGGTGTCCCCCAAGGGTCAGTCCCAGGACCAATCCTATTCAACTTATTTGTAAATGATCTAGAGAAAGGGGCAAGCAGTGAGGTGGGAAAGTTTGCAGATGATACCAAACTGTTCAAGATAGTCAAGACCAAAGCAGACCGTGAAGAACTTCAAAAAGATCTCACCAAACTGAGTGATTGGGCAAAAAAATGGCAAATGAAATTTAATGTGGATAAGTGTAAAGTAATGCACATTGGGAAAAATAACCCCAACTATACGTACAGTATGATGGGGGCTAATTTGGCTACAACCAATCAGGAAAGAGATCTTGGAGTTCTCATGGATAGTTCTCTGAAGACGCCCATGCAGTGCAGCGGCGGTCAAAAAAGCAAATAGAATGCTAGGAATTATTCTTTCTCTTATTTTTTACCCCTTTTTTAATATCTTACTGCCCCAATATAAAACTATAGTACATCCACATCTTGAATACTGAGTACAGATGTGGTCTCCTCACCTCAAAAAAGATATTTTGGCATTAGAAAAGGTGCAGAAAAGGGCAACTAAAATGATTAGGGGGTTGGAACAGGTCCATATGAGGAGAGGCTAAAGAGACTTGGACTTTTCAGTTTAGAAAAGAGGCGACTGAGGGCGGATATGATAGAGGTATATAAAATCATGAGTGGTGTGGAGAGGATAAATAAAGAAAATGTATTTACTTATTCTCATAATATAAGAACTAGAGGGCACCAGATGAAATTAATGGGTAGCAGGTTTAAAACAAATAAAAGAAAGTTCTTCACACTGCGCTGTGACAGACCGGGCCGTGTCTGGGCACAGCTTAGGGCGTCCGCTCAGGGCGAATTGCTCAAATCCGGGGCTCTTTACAGTCCCCCTGACTGGCGACCTCTCCACACAGG